ATAACTGTGCTTGGCATAATCCAACCTTTATTATTCCACTTTAAATATGACTCCATCATACCTCCAAATTAAAGAGTATATCTCGTCATTTACTTAATGTCATCCATTTAAGTACAATTGAATGTCTGATATTGTCACGCATGAATCTAGGAAGATTAACATCACGCATAAATCCCAACACGTTAAGATACTTTTAACGGCCACAAAGCACCTCTTACCATACTCTTAAGATACTTTGCAGTTGAGATTAGAGGCGTGCATGATTTGGGTGAGCAACCCAAAAAAATATGATTGCGAACCACCCATACAAGATCAATCTTGAAATTTTTGGACTGTAGAGCGATCCAACACTCTCTACACTCTCTAGGACCCATGGTCTACCCATGCAAGGTCAGTCCGGTTCAACCCAAAAATTGGATCCTAACCCCACAAATGTTATGAATTCTCTTGTCAATTTCACATGTTTAATTATACAGCTTCAAATTTATATTTTTGCATAGCACTCAAACCATCGTGCTTCACCATGTAACAGAACAGGGAAAAAAAATTGTAGTGCCGCAACTTATTATGACTTCATATAACTGGTATGGTAAAAAATTATTGATGGGCTTGCTTCTATAGCTCCATAAGCATGCGATTCTTCTCGATGGGCTTCCTCTCCTATGCTATTGAAATAGTTGTGGCTAAATTCTGTTGCTGGTGGGTCGATTTAGAACCTTGTAAAAATTGTTCCACTTTTACCAGGTCATGGAAGTGAATTACCGTCTCAGGATTCTCATTGAAAACCTTTTTCCCTGTCTCTTTATGCAGATCTAGAATCCAAAACTTTATTCTTATTTATTTATATATTTATTTTGACTAAACTGTGTCCTTAAAGCCTACTGATCTTAATGCTAGCATCTATGTTTAATCCTTCAATTAACAATGGCTCTCCTTACTGACCCCACTGTAGGTGTAGTAATTAATATCATTGCATTGCTGATCTAGCTATTTGATTCTAATACTCCTTGTGTCTGTATTCTCAAAATCAACTCGGTATGCAACAACACTCAATTTTAGTAGTATGTCGTCATTTTTTAGTAGTAGCATTTCTATTATTCCTGCATTCTGCACATTAATAGAATTTTCTGCATCCATGGTTGTCCTTGCAATGCCGTTGCTCAAGTAAAGCTCAGATGGTATAGCTGCCTGCAACCCTATATTGTTGAAAATTACAGGAAAGTTTCTGTAAATCAAAACGTTCCTTAGTGTCCTTGCCTGTGTTGAAATTTCAATGTTTGGTTTAACCCATTCCCTATTCCAGTAGATTCAAATCTTGTATAATTCTCTCAAGTCTCCCAATTTATAATGGGTACATTTGGAGGAATAGTAGAGATCATGGCCTTTCAGAAAATTTCCTTTCATAATTTGAGAATTTAAATTAAGATATATATATATTTTACATATGTTGGATTTTACTAGAACATCATAGGTTTTCAACTGCTCTGTTGATGATTTAAAATTTCATCTACTACTTTAGAGGATGAGGAAATTTTGAAGGAATTAAAAAAAGAAAATTAATTGAATCAAAGCATATAAATACTATCTGAGTTTATCATTTGGGATTAAGAATCATGGACTTAACCTCTCATGTTTATAGATCTTTTATTATTTATACTAGCACATAAGCCAGCACTTCACTTCGGGACTTAAAGAATTTTATTCAAATTGATATTAAACAAATTAAATAAGTAGATTTTAGTCTAAATTCTAGTTAAAAAATTATAAATTTTACGGACAATTTTGATTATATAAGCAAGTAAGAATAAAAAAAGTTAGCATATATATAAATCATATTATTAAAATCAATTCGGTTTCCATGCTTCAAGTTTAGAGCCCCACAACTTTGAGAAAAGCTTACGATCCATACGTTAAGCAAGTTTTATTATCAGATTGGTGTGGCCGTGTTAGTGGTGGGGCAATACTTTTACAAAATTAACCCTCAAATTATAATTAATCTCATAATGGTAATTATAATTAACCTCAAAATTATAATTATAATTTTATTCAGGAGAAGAGCTAAATGTACCCCTGTTTTTTCTTTGTACAGCCTTTTTCTTTAATTTTTTGTAAGTAAAATTATTTAATTACCATTTCTCACAAAATTTTTAATATTCATTTATGATAAGTTTTATAATTTTTCAGAAATAGATTTTTCAAAAATCATATCACTTTTTGAAAATATATTTGCGGACAGTATATGGATTTTAGGTGATGAAATAGTAAAAATTTAAGAAAAATTATGGAAAAAAATTTATTAAAAATTTTTATTAATTAATGTAATAAAAAAGTTATTATTAGAAAAAAATAATAAATTTTAAATTTAATAAAAAAGTTTATTTCTCTATTTTAAAATTTTTTATCAATTTAAAATTCATATTTTTTTAATAAATACTTTTTTTGGTATCGATTGTTAAAATTTAATAATATCTCTAACTAAATTGAATTTTTTGAAAAAATTTCTCTATCTAATTACCATAATTGATTTTTCTAGTTAGCATATTAGATTTTAACAAAATTATGTAGAATTAAGTGATATTATTTGTACAATTTTTAGGAGTTTCAACTTTTAAATGTTGATCAGATATAATAGTTCTTTCATCATTTTTGGTAACATTAAGAAACGAAATGTTTAATTAGAGCTTCATAAAATTTTATTCTTTCTCTATCACCAAAATATTGAAATTAACTTCTTTTTTTATTAATTTTAAAATTTATGATTTGTTTCTAATAATAATTTTTTATTATACTAATTAATAAAAATTTCTAATAATTTTTTTTTTGTAATTTTTCTTAAATTTTCATTATCTCACCTTCCACAAATGAATTTCCATAAAAGTATATGACTTTTGGAAACCCATTTTCGAAAAGGTATATGATTTTTTGAAATAAATTTTTGAAAAGTTATATGAATTTTTAAATTTTTCTTTTTGAAAAGTTACAAAACTTACTGGAAATGAATATGAAAAACTTGTAAAAAATGATAATTAAGTAATTTTATTAATAAATAATTAAAAAAAATACTTTGGCTGTGAAAAGAAAAAACAAAGGTACATTTAGCAATTCCCTTTATCCACCCCATTGTTAACTTTCATGGTTGTGTTTCAAAATTAATCTTCAAATTATAATTAATCTCAAAATTGATTTGACTTTAAATTGAAATCAAACAATAATAAGAGATAACTTTAATATATTTGTATAGATTTCACGTAAAAGATTCAAATATCCGACCAGGAAAAGTTCATAGCAAGGCTATCGAGTCTCATCGTGCAGCACATATTGTTGCCTTGGTTTTACAAATTTTACTATTGAACCCTTGCCATCCAAGGTAACCATTTCAGACGAGCCACCATACATTTTTGGCATTGCAAAAATATTAAGCTCAACTTGCGGGTGTCACCAGAAGTTACCTTGGATCTAAGTAGGAGGTTTTTATTGGCAGATTTGGACCCTGCCACAGCTAAACTGGGAATCGGTGTTTTAGGGCCCTTCCTCTCAGCATTTGCCTTTGCATTTACTTTTGACAATAGTGATGTCTTGGTACCCTTTGCTTCCGGTGGAAAAATTTCCATATATTATTGCTTATGCTGGCATGAATCATTCTGATCCTAATCTAACAGTGGTAGATCTAAAATTTTTTTTTAAGTATAAAATTTATAATATATATATAAAAAAAAATTACCACAGATTTATCAATTATGAACGGAAATGGTGTCCATTGGAAAATTTTGCTGGTGCACGGAAAATCTTTTTTTTTTATTATTTTGTAATTTTTAAAGGTTTATTGGAAATAATTGTCCAGAGAAAATATATTTTTTTAAAATTTCTCATTTTCCGATTCTTTAAAGTGTTCATAATACCCTAGTTCTAAACGTATATTGATTATTGGCCCCCGAATCCAAAATTTGATTTCACCTCGTGGAGGAGAGGATGTAACTCCTGTTGTTTGATTTGGATTGGTTAGTTTTCTTAACGAGATCCTCGTTGGGCTGCAAGGGCTTCTTGTCCTTATCTCGCAACAGGTAGTACGCATTGAAAGATACAGTTATGTGACAAAGTAAGAAATGGTTGTATTATTCTTTTTTCATATGACCCTAGAAATGTCTCTTCTGTAAAGATTAATGGATTATCAGTTTCCAAAGTTGGGTGTTCTAAATAAAAAAAAAAAATGTGAATTTTACAATGTTTAGAATCTATGAAAGATTGTGAAGCGAAAGTTCCTTGCCGCACTGCAGCAAGAACAATCAATAAACATAATTGGAATAACTGTGACTAGATGTAATATTTAGGCTTCAACACTGCTTAGTTAACATTCTTGCATTGTACACGTAATATTTTTTGTTTCTTTCCAAAAAAAACAACAATCATGTAATCTGATAATAGAATGCCTTAATTTCAGTGATCAAGATTTAATTATGATAGTTTCAAATGTTAAAAAAAAAAAAGTTCTTTCAAGGAACCTACTTATAGGGTATAACCTATTAAGATCTGTTTTTGATATGGAATGTGTTTTCGTAGTTTTCCATGATGCTACACAGTTATGTTAGAGATAAGCCACAGTTATGCTACACAGATATGGCATTTTATCCCATTTTGTGTTGAAGAAAAACCAGAAAATCAATATGTTTTAGCTCGCATTTTCTTGAGGCTTTTGATTCTACTTTACATTCTTGAGTTTGTTCTAACGAAGTTAATTTTTCCTTGGGAAAAACAAAATACTCAAGCATGCGAGCTTTGCAGTAGCCATCCCACGTTTTCATGCTGTTTCCCCTTTTTTTTTTTTGGTGCTCTTGACCAAAAACCGAGGATAAAATTCCATGACAAAAAGAAAAGTTAAATTGCCTTTAAAGCCAGTTGCAATTGATAGAAAAGCTAGTGTCAAGTACAATCATTCCCTTATTAAAATTTGCAAGATTTTTACATTGTCAGCCATATGAACAAACCTAAAAAGGACGCTGCAATCACTTGCTGCATCCCAATCTCGAAGGATCTCCACGCTGAAGCTCATCCATCAGCAGATGTGCAACTGACTTGTATCCCAGCTCCCGAGCTTTGAATTTGATGAGAAAAACGAAAAACGATAGTCAGTATTTTCAATTCCAAAAAGTTTGGCCAGTTGGGGAAGATAGGAATCAAGACAAAACCTCTGTAAATTGCTATTCCAGTTGGAGCCATCTTTCGATTCTTCAAGCACAGTGAACTTTGGAGAATGCAAAAAAGAATCAGTGAACAACACAAAATTATCAATCACACACACAAGAAGTAAAATAACGATTCACATACCTATTACATATCCAATAAGGGTTGATTCCTTTTTCTTCTATGCAGTGAGGGCACATCCATTCCTTATTTTCTCTTACCTCCTCCAGTTCTGATAAAAAAAAATGATAACAGTACCTTGTAAACTATTTCTTCCCCTTGCTGTTATGGTATTTTTCTAAGACTAACATCATTACAACACCAAAATTCACCACATCAACCTTTTTTCTTCTTCACAGTAACCCATCCTTGAGTTCTATTCCACCACGTACAAACTATAAAAACTACCAAGAGCTGTTGTTCTCTTTCAAAAGTGTAATCCCCTCCTAGCTTAATCCATTCTTGATGAATCTTAAAATATTGATCTTACCTTCACCATACCTAACCTTGAGACAAGCCCGACACAGAACACCATTGTTAGAGTGACAAACTGAACAATCTGTCTTCCCTGCTTGAAATATATATGTTATAAGGGAACTTAATCTAGTTTGCAATGAACTTTACAAGTGTTTCCGTGACAAAACCAACCTATGCAGGGCTGATTTACATCAAGATTAGCACATCGCTTGCAATCTTCCTCAGCGCACAATGTCTTTTGCCTGCATATGATTTGCTTGTTAAAGTCCATATTCCATAGTAATATTAGTTGCCTCCTCTATTCGGAATAAGAGCTGGACTTCATACTAAATAAGCTTAAAGATAGAAAACTTTTGGTTGTTATTTCAATCATGTTTATTGATTGTTATTTCAAACCACGAAAAAGGCTAGGCTTCCTTTGGTTGTTACTTTTGTTTTTTTACTTTTTGTTATTTATTTCTAACTCAATGAAAAGTTATTATCATAAAACAAAAGTAAATGATAAAAACCAATTATAATTGATTAAATATGAAAAATTGACTAAAATATGACACTAGCTGTAACAGAACTTGTACATAGCTGCATTTGCAGCTTTTTTAGGATATCATTTGCTTCTCAATTTATATCCGTTTTGCTTAATTTGCCACAAAGCATGAGCAGTCTAAAGTTGGCAAAAGAAAATCATCGTGGCAAAATAGTTCTTTTTTGTTATTCGAAGGAGATTTGAATCCAACTCTTTGAGCCTAGATACATGTATTTATCATCGAGCCAAATGACGAGATGCTCAAAATAATTTTTTTTTAAAGAAAAGCAAAGGAGAAAGTATTCAGGTTCCTTATTGCTTTTATAATCAACACAGCATAACTAGAAAAGTATAGTGAGATCAGTCCATATTTGGTCTTCACCTATTTGAGAGTCAACAAAAATAGCTATTAATCACCATAAACTCTTCCAATTTCCTGCTTCATTATTTAAACACGCTCAATTCATTCTCTCAATCCTATACCATTGTCTAATAAAAGTGGGGAAAAGAAAACGATAAAAACAAAAAGTGGTAGCGGAAAAATAAACCTGCAGAAATGGCAGCAAATTCCAAAAACAGGGTTGTAAACACTGCCCCTCCCCTCCTTGCGACGGCAGCGCCGAGCAGAATCCTCAGGCGATAATTGATGCCTCCCACCATATATAGTCCCCGATTGAGCATTTGCAGGCCTTTTTTCATTCCCTTCGCCCGAAGAAGAATTTCTCCCTTCTTCACTCTCTTCATAGTCAATCACCTTTCCTATTTTAAAAAGGAAATATAAGATTTTTCTTTTTCAAAAAAAATCTTCTTTAGAAACGGAGAATCAATGGATTCTTTTTTTATTTGCTTACCTCTGGCTCTGAGCCGGTTAGAGCGACGCAAAAACTTGCCAGTGTGAGTTGACGCAGTACGAATTCGTTTGAAACGATTGGAGCGGCGCAAAGGCCTGATGTCGTATTCTTTCTTTTGCCATTTTCTGACCTCGATTTTCCCTGGTTTTGCAGACGAAACAATCGACCGGAGCTCGGAGATGGTGTTGTGCACTCCCAGAGAGGCTAATCGAGCCTGTATCGGAATTCATGATCCATTGAAGAAAAATTTTTAAAAAAAAAAAAAAACGAAAAAGAGTGATTTTTAATGAATAGAATGGAGGACCTGGTTCTCTAAGATGCGAGCGTTCCTGAGACTTTCATAATCGGATTTGGCTCTAAGCTTTCCCATTTGGTTTCTCAAATCTCAATTTCTCTGATAACAGTGGCTGCAAATGATGGAACTCAGAAGATTTCTCAAAATAACTGAACCATAAGTTTAAAAAACGCTTTTTTTTTTTTTAAAATAAGGTTTTTGGAAATCACAGTTTTGTGGCCTTCCAACGGTCATGTTTCGAGCGGGGTATCTGTGTATTCAAAAAAAATAATTCAATCAGCAAATTCATCAATGAGGCGTTTAGTTAAGAAAGATTTTTTTTTTTTGGGTGAAATTTTACTTTTCATAATTTGATTTTTTTTTTTTACTTTAATTTAGGAAACGTGATTTTTGAGATTTTTTAAAATTTTCAATAATATTAAAAATAAAAAAGTAGAGAAATAAAAACTTTCTTCTCCCACGAGATTTTTTAAATTTTAGAAGAAAAGTAAAATTTTTTCCTCAATTAATTGCCTTTTTTATTTATATTATCTTTTATAATTTCTTAAAATTAGAAAATAAATATGATTTTTTATTTATAATTTCAAAATACAGTATATTAAGATAAACACGTTATAAGGAGATTACAAATTAAGGGTATAAATGATATATTAGTACTCACAAGATATTCAGATTCGATTCGAATAAAACTTAAATTCGGTTCGATTATTATTGAGTCGAATACGAGCTCGAATAGCTCGATTCATCGATCTAACCGAGTTCAAGTATTCTTATACCTGACTCGAGTAGCTCACGAACCTAATCGAGCTTTTATATTTAAATATTTTTTATTATTTTAATTAATAAAATATCTCGAATTTGAATTCGAGTTCGAGTATAAATAATCGAACTCTTATCGAGTATAAGAATCAAGCTTATTTTACATAGTAATCGAACGAGTTCGAGTAACTTGATTTCGATCACGAATCGAACTCGAAATAAAAAAATAAAACTCAATTGAATTCGAATCAAATATCGAACCGTAAGTTAAGAGTTGAACTCAAACTCAAATTTTTTACTATATCGATTCGACTCAACTCAATTACACTCCCACTACAAACCACTAAGATTATTTTTGGGCTACAGAACATATTCCGTCGAGGTATAAGGATCAAAGCTAGCATTTTCAACTCATGAAGGGTAGTGTGGCCCATAGTCAACAAGATATGGCTTGGAGGCTAGTACATGCGAGATATGGGATGGGGTTAAGTCCTCACTTTGTCCATGGTGTAGTTAACTCTGATGTCCGGCGTTTCTAGTAATTAAATTCTTATTTGATTTATAAAAAAAAAAAAAGGGTAAAACAAATAATGAATGTTAAATTTATATTTTTAAAAATTAAAAAAATGATATTTTTAAGACAAAAACACAATGGATGTTGAAACTATTTTTTAAAATTTTTAAATTTTAACAAAAATTGAATTTTTTAAATAAAAAACGTAGTGAATATTATTAAAATTATATTTTCAAAATTCTGAATTTTAAACAAAGACTATATTTTTAAAATAAAAAATATAATAGATGTTGAAATATTATTTTCAAAATTCTAAAATTTTAACAAATATTGTGTTTTGTTAATAAAAAACATTGTGGATATTATAACTTTATTTTTGAAATTCTAATTTTAACAATTACTGTATTTTTAAGATAAAAAACATAATTTTTGTTACTACTTATAATAAAATTAAAATAAAATGTAAAATATTTTTACTTAATATTATTACTCAAGGATAGTAATAACAGTAATTAGCACTTAGTTTTTTTTTCCCTTTGCATAAGTGCAATCTAAGTATAGTAATTAGGATTGAAAAATTATTTTTGTTGAAAATATAAAAAAAATATATTTTAAAATTCTTTAATTTCAACGAAATAATATATTATTCACATATAATATGTTATGAAATCATGTGTTATTTACATGTTATCAAGGATAATATAATAAAAGACTTTATTAAGTATATTGTATTCCTCTAAACCGAATACAAAATCTTATATTCCCTGAGTCAATAGAACCAAGGAATCATACATTCCTTTTGAGTATCACTTTTCTCCAAAATTACTTTCCTTTAAAATCACTTTCCTTTTCAAAATCTAAAAACTTGCTAACTAAATGCCCAATAAAGGTTATTTAGATAGACAATGATATTGGTTTCAATAAGATTAAAAATAGTGGTAGAGAAAAGATTAATTATTACAAACTAAATGGTGACAATGAGATAAATTATAGTGGAAAGAGAAAATAACCATTAAGTGTGTGTTTGATATATAAAATTATTATATAATAGGATAAAATAATCTTATAAATAAAATTAAATTAAATAATATCATCCTATCGTATGTCTAATGTGCGATGATTAAAATAAGATATTTTTATTTAGTAGTCAAAATTATTATTTCTCAAAGTTTGTACAATTTAAATTATTGATATAATTTTTAAAGATATAATATAATAAGTAAGTTAGTCCAATGAATTAAGAATAATGCTCTCTACTTTAGGAAGATTGAATCATTCTATAATCTTCTTGGTATAGGATGATTCAATCTTCTTTATAATGTTATCTCTTTTTTAAAAACAAATCAAATATAATATAAAATTACTATCATATTATCTTATCTATTATTCTATACATCAAATATGCCTTAAGAACATTAGATTAAAATTTGTATATAATGAATTTCTTATATTATTTATTGTTTAACAATATATCAAATAAGCTATTAAAAATTAATTTATTAATAATTTATTTGATTATAAAATGCAGTATTTATTTGTGTATTTTTAATAAACAAATTAATAATTAATTTATTATATAATTATAAATTTTGTTATATTAAATTAATAAAATTATTTTAAATGAATAAAAAATAAAAAAATATTAAGTATCAGGGACATTTTCGTTATTACAAATAATCTTAAGGGTAAAAATTAAAAAAAAGGACATAAATGTGAAAGGGGAAGTGGTGGGAGGGGAGAAATCTCAATTGAAGCTTCCCCTTTGCAATCTAAATTTCGGGTACCACAACTGGTTTTTTGTTATCCAAATATATGTTGTGGTGCGAATTAGGCAAAAAAAGTGATGAATTCGCGCCACATGGTTGATAAAACGTTTAATAAGAAAAAAAGGGAAAGATATTTAATATTTTTAATAGAAAATAAATTTTTTAGATAAAAAATAATATTTTCTATTATTATTTATCAGTATAATAATATTTGTAATAAAAATAGATTTTGTGTCTTTAAAATGATATAGAATTTAAAAAATATAAAAATTTTAACTTAATTTTAATTTCTGAAAATTTATTTTCTATTAAAACAAAGAATATTTAACTAATAAATTATATTACAATAAAAATATAAAAATATTATTTTACATTTAATATTTTATAAAATATTTAAAAAATAATATAAAAAAATATAATAGCATCATTGGTCTCTAAATTTTGAGCAAAAGTCTATTTGGGTCTCTCCATCTATTAGGTAAAATGACAAGTGCCATTCGTGTAGTGCCATTTGGCATTTATTATCAATTTAGATGATTTCATAAATGAAAAAATTAAAGTGGAACAACTTTAGACAATTGGTGATCTAATTAAAAACTTTTTAAATATTAAGAATCAAAATAAAATTTAACTTAAAATTTAAGAATCATGGGTCATATTAACTCAAATATATAAAACCAAACATTTTGACAAAAAAAATCAAATGTGAATGGTTTAATTTTTTTTATACATAGACAAACAAAATTAGTTGCATAATTGATGTGTTTGATTAGATCTGATATATTTTTAATTTAAAAAATAAATTTTTTTAACTAAATTAATTATATTTATTTCTTTAAAAATTCTATATTCTTGACTTCAATACATAAGTTGCAATTCAATTTACCTTAAATTACTATCAATAAGTTCGATTATATGTAATTTTAAATATATATTTCATATTTCCTATATAGATAGGTAATTATTACAAGGGACAGAAAAAAACAAAAAATGCAAAAAAAAAAAAAAAGAATTAGAATAGGAGATCTTCTCCCTCCCATTGGCTCATCCCAATTAGTTAACCACTACCAACTCTAGCATTGCTGAAAACCGTAAAAGAAATGCAATAGCATTTGCAGCCAATATAATCGTAACCTTCTAGCAAATTGTACAACTCAATCCTAGCCTTTAGTTTCAAATTTTAGTAGTTCTAAATCCTAAAAACCTTAACAATGAAAGGGGAGACAAAAATTCAAAAAAATACCAAAAAAAAAAATCATTCAATGAAAATCCCTAACGCTGATGCCTACATTCTAAAACACCAAAAAGCCACCGTTTTCAAACCACTAACTTCAATACCCCACACTAGCAAAGCACAACCTAAAATCATCGATGTGAAACCCAAAAAAATCGCATATCTTTTACCAAAAATTCACAACAAAAATAGCCCAAAAAACCTCCAACAAAAGAAAAACATTAGAAAAGCAGTAACCTAAACAACCAAAATAATACAAAAAACCAAAAAAAAAAAAAAAAAACACAATCTTTAAAGGAAAAAGGCATAAAAAAGGCAAATGTTTAGTTTTTCTCTCTCTTAGAGTTTCGAGTTCAAGGGTGATTTTGAGAAAATTTGTGATTTTTTTTGGAAGGGCAAAATATGGATGAAGGTGATGTCGGTGGCTAACTAAAGCAACCAAGAATAAATAATAACCTAATAGTGATACTGATTGAACAAACAGCAAGGAAGAAACGCAGACAAGATAATAACAAAAAAATTAATAAATTTGGAGAGAATCAAAGTATAAGAGAGATGATAGAAGAGAGAGAATAAAGGGATAGAATGTACGAATTTGTTTTCTTAAATTACATAACTAATCAAACAATTGACTATGGTACAAGTTATATTCTAATAGAATTGCTGATTCATCATTTCTTTTAATTACATGTTGAGCTATTTACTAACCACTACAAAGGAAAGAAAATAAACTGAAAATGAAAATATTTCTTGATTGTTTTGGGCCTATAATAAAAGGCTAGAGGAGGATAATGGACATTGT